GAAATAAAAATAGTGTTGTGACAAAGTGAATGATTGAAAAACTCCTGAATTAATGAAATTGCCTCGATTGTCTAGTGAATAGTTAGTGTGCTGAACTGCCGATATCGGGTACGGGGTTCGAATTTTAGTCGTGCTTTTTACATACCAACGAGTTTTCGACGACTATGTTCCTATAATATCTACCTATACTGAATACCGAGTGTTTTAAACATTAAGGAAAATATTGCGAGGAAACTTGTAAGACTGTCCTATTTTCAATACATCATGTAGTTGAAACTATAGATGTATAAAATATAACAATTATAGGTAGGTAATCAGAATAAAAAAAATCGCTTATTACATAATTTGTTTTTATTCATTATCAGATAAAAAATCATCACTATCGCTTTCGGTGACATTAATTAAAAATCTGTCAGTAACATTGTCAATCATGTGGTCGAGACCATACATTTTGTCTTCTTTTTTAATTATATGAGACACGCAGCTATTCCATTTTTCAGGTGTGATATGTTGAAGTCCTTCTTCAAAAAGTTTTTTTTACTTCTGTCATTTTGAAGGTTTTGTTATTTCTTGCAACATATCCTTTAGCCTGCGTCCATACCAACTCAATGGGATTGAGCTCACAGTGGTATGGGGGCAGACGTAAAACAATTATCCCATGCTGCGCTGCCATCTCGTCCACAACATACTTATCGCAATGTTCTTGCTTGTGCTGCCGTACAATGTCTATAAGAGTAGCTTTAACCATTGTTGCTTCGAATGAAATATTTTTGCTCGTTAGCCACTCTAGTATTCTAGGTTTAGTCCAAGACATTTTAGGCAGCGATTCTAGTTTCCTGGAGTGGTAGGGGGCATTATCCATCACTACTACGGAATTTGGTTTTAGTTTTGGCAAGACACCCCAAAACCACTTCTCAAAGGAATCGGCATTCATCTCTTGATGATAATCTTCTTTTTTTTTGGCTTCAAATATTAATAAGCTGTCTTCTACGAATCCTTCTTCCCCGCCTATATGGCCGATAATTAATCGTTTGCCCTTTCCTGAAGGCTGTTTTAAGCCAGTGGTCAAGCCATCTAGGAAGGCCTGGCGGGACGATAACACTGTCTGGTCAATCCATGCCTTCTTCGGTGCATGACCTTCAAGATAGTGAAAAATATCAATTAATTATTTGAAAGTACAATTTAATGTAAAGAAAACAGAAAATTGTAATTACCTTCGTTGATCCAGGTTTCATTTTGGTAATAAATATACCTTCCTTCCCTTCGATACTCTTTAATTTTTCGAAGGTATCGCTGGCGCCATAGAATAATGTCCTGTCTGTCAATTAAAATGCTGTGTCTTGATTTTGTGACATATTTGAAATTTAAATGTTTCATAACATTTCTTAATGTACTCCAAGAAAAATTGGGTAAGTCTGGGTCTTCATTGACAACCTTAAGAATCTGTAAAGTAATAAAATATGTTTTGAGTAAGGAAGTCTACGCAATCTAATACTTTGGTTTTACAAAGAACATTATGGTGGACACAGAATATAATGCAGTAGAAGGAATAAAGTTTAAGTTACCTTTATAATGGTGGGCGACTCATTTGCATAAAAAAAATTATGTACTTTCCCTTAAAAGTGCGGCAAAAGTAAAATCGTCTAATTTATCTTTGAAACTGTGTTTCGGTCCACGTTTCTCGGGAGACTTAAATTGTTCATTTTCTTTGCATTCTTTTAACACACTGTAAACTGAGGTCACACCAATTCCCAAAATGTCAGCTGTTTTCGAAACACATTCTTTTTTTTCGGGGGCCTCAATAGGTAATAGTGAAGCAGCTTTTTCCTCAAATACGTGTTTGTAGACGTTTTGTATCATAAGTTTTTCGGTAACGCTTAAAGCAATCCGTGGTCTCTTCTTTCTTGGAGACAAGCTTTGGCTTGACGTGCTTGGTTGAGGATCCATATCGTTTGTACGAAACAATATAGCAACAAATAAACACAACAATTACCACAAACACAACCTAACGAAAAACTTAACAAAAACAATAACTAAACAGCGTGAGCGCAGAAAAAACATTCGTGCTATCAGACCAGAGGTTAGAAGCCGAATAACAAACAAAATGGCGACCGACGCGCGCGGCGTTGATCGGTGTTGGCACTAGTCGCCGCGCCGCGCTTTGTAATAAAACCTCAAAAAACTGATTGTAGTTACATACTACTAGTAACTTATATCAGAGCACTTTTATACAATTTTATTGTAAAATAGAAATAATATTCTTTTATAGTTTGAAATGATTAACTATTCACACTCATTGTTCATTCATCTGATTGAACGAGAACTGAACGCATCACTATTACTTTAAATATGGCAACATTATTTTACAAAGTGACATTAGCTACTGTCAGTTGGCTTCGTCTAATTAAAAATACGACTATAGGCATCAGGCTAATTTTTCCAAGCAATATATTTGTGGCTTTTAGCATTGCGTCTGCTAGCAAAAAGATATCTTCGTAACCGTAGCAAAGAGTTAATTTATTAAATGCCTTAGCATTAGTTCCCATTTTGTGGCCAAAAATTTTAGTTAGTAAGACACTTTTGATCTGCTTCACAGTTGACTTTATAATTTCTATAAGAAGAAAATATAGTTATTGCATGTATTTCACACAATTTTAATATTTGTATAATAATAATATTTAAATGATCGAACTTGATGCTACCCATCCTATTAATACAAGACATTGCAGTAACATTATCAATTTGCAATTTTTTATTAATTGAATTTAAATTAATAGCGAAGCACTTTAGAGCCAGAACTGCCTGTTACGAATTCGTTAATATGCAAGAATTTTTCATGATCTTTACAGCAGCCTTAACAGTTTTTCATGTTACTATAAGCACCTCAATCTATAGATGATGCGTCAGAAAATATTTCTAAATCATCAGGTTTGTTGATAGAAACGACGATCATTATTTTATATCCACCAAAGTATGTCGATCTGAAGACTTTCAGGAAGCTTTAGGATTTTTTAAAAACTTAAAAATTTTTTACGTGTTAGAGCCTTGCTGCAGTTATATTAGTAGTATAGTTGTAGCACGAATGGGTCGGCTCGACCGGGGAAGGACCACGCTTTCACATAATACCAGCGTCAAATAGTAGCTTAATGCTGCTGTGTTTCGTATGGTGAGTGTAAATAACCGGAGACCCCTATTACTGGAAACGAGGCATTCAATCTAAGTCGTCACGGGTGAAAACGAATCTGCATTTTGATTCGTAATAGAGGATAGATGTAGATGTCTATGGGTCATATGGGCCACAGCAACCACTTACCATCAGCTGGACTGTGTGCTCGTTTGTCAGCCATTCCTATATAAAAAACAGGGTTGTCGAGTAAGCACCGATATTTGAATTGTTCAAAACATTTGTTGTAAAGCCATGAATATTTAACCGCAGGGCACGCAGAAACTAGAAGTCCTAACACTATGTTTACACCGAGAAACATCCAACACGCAATGTTTTGAAACAAATCGCATAAAATAAATCACACAACATGTTTTGTTGATAGTGACGTTCGCACACAAAAAAAATGAGTAAAATTTTCAACAGATATTCAAACTTATCTTTCAAAATGACAATATTCGTACTAATTTGTTTTCAAACATTTTGTTTCTATGTTTGTACAGATATAATATACTTATAATATGTAATTTACAATAAACTGTCAAACATATTTCACTACAACACGTTATTTGACTATGCAAATGCTTTTTGATGCATTGACGGAAAACAGTATCTAAAACATATTTTCAGTGATAATCGCGTCAGTGCAAACTCACGGTAAGAGTTGAGTAAATTCACGAAGTGTACATTTATATAGTTTAAGGAACTTCGAAATACCCACTTTGATTTTTATTTTATTTTTTTTAGAATCTGTCAATTTTATTGCCATGTTCTTAGAATCAAAAATAAAACCTAAAAATTTAAATTGAGTTTAAGGTTCCAGGCAGCTTTTCTCTTTGTTTACTATGAAACCCAAGCTTTTGGTAAAGTTTCTAGTAAGACATTATTCCTTTTGTATTCTAAAGGCGAACATCCAATACAAAATATATCAACAAGCTATATCACAGATATCATTCCATTAATTATAAGAAATTATATTACTGGCTTCATTAATTTAGTAAAAGCATAAGGTGCTGTGCACAAACCGAACAGTAGGCAATTGAATTCAAAAAGCGCATCATTATATTCAAAGCGAAGGTATTTTTAGGAGATTTATGTATAGAAAATAAGAGTATTTTAAATATATTTAAGCCATATAACAGTTTTGGTCATCAATTTTGATGGTGTTTAGTAATCCTCCATCTTAAAATGTAACGTTTCTACGAACTTACTTAAGCATTTAAGATTAAATATAAATCTATTTTCTTCGTTCTGTTTTGACACTAAAAATACACTGGATATGAATTCGCTTTATTTATGTGTGCGGTGGTATATTGCACCAATATCTGGAAGGGTTTTAATTGACTTGTTAAAATTATGCGCTTCGTGGGATGTGTTTGGGGTAAACATAAGGATCACTAGTAAGATATCGCGTACTTTTAAATGGTATTTGGTAACCTTACTTTCAAGATGGAATAGTTTTGTGTGAAGTTATTTAAGCCCATTTAATAATAAATAAATTTATTTATTAAATAAAACCATATTGACACTACAAAGTTGAAGCCCTGACTCCCGAACTAGCAATAGCAGTGTTTTTTATTTAAATCATAGATGCAACACACATTCATGCATATTTTTATTTATTATTTTTCTTGGCTTTGTAAAAAATTGTATTTATTTTTGTTATCTTGTTCCGAGTTGTGATAAGCTGATAAGCCATTTTGTAATTGTAATTTAATGGAAATGGGAAGTAATCAGTTCCTATACAGCTATTGCTAGTTCGTGAGTCAGGGCTTCAACTTTGTAGTGTCAATATGGTTTTATTCAATAATTTTTTTTTATTATTTATTATATTTATTTATTTACTGGCAAAATACTGATATTGTCCCGAAAATGGTACCTCGTCTACGTCCGGCGAGACATCGTCCGCTTGATTGTCGGCGGGCGGCGTGAAGTGCTGGCTGCCTGCTGAGGTGCGTCCCGCGGGCGCGGCGTTGACCGCTGCCCTCGCCTTGTGTTGTAAATTTGCGGCTGCAATTTGTTGTGTACCTTGCGATGTTGGTTTAGGTAGTTTAAATGGCCGGTGTTGCTGGTTGTACTGAAAGTAGAGGGGGTAAGTATTAATAGACAAAATTATGAAACCTCTACGTGTTCTTGATTTCATAAAATGAGTATCGCAAAGAATGCGACAATGCGTTTCCTCCGAAATGATATTGGCAACAGCACCTAGGGCTGCAATGGTGACGCCTAGCTGCTTTTGTTTGAACAAAAGTCTCGTTTTATAGAAGTCTCTGTCAGCTGCTTTAACCCCAGAGTTTAGAGGTGGTGCCATCAGGAGGTCATATTCGGAGAATATAAGATAATTCTTCAAAAGACTTTCTTTCACGCCCTTTTCAAGTATGTCTTGCCATCTATTGGCTGTATCCTTATGGATTGCTGGACCCATTGGTGTCTCGGTCTTAGGTCCATCACTAAGCAAAACCAGTATGTCTTCGTCGAGTTGCACCTCTAACATCATCAGCTGTGAAGGTTCACTGCCAGCTGATGTTCCAGGTGTTGGACAAATCGGTCTGTCGTCAACCTGCCTTTGCGGCGACTGTGGTGCTATTCTCGGCACCGGCAATTTTGGGAACGCTGGCGGTAGACAACCAGTTCCAGGAGAACCATATCCTGACAAGATGGGATATGTAGGTGAACCTCCCCATCAACCACAAAAGGAGACTACATGCATGACGCTGGTGACAATGCTTGGCACGTGCTCAGCGGATGCAGAGGTGAATCTGCAACAAACAGTTCTTATCAGAATATTTAAAAAATGTGACAGTATCAGCCCAAAAATTAGCATTTAACATACGGTATCTCGCATCACAACTTCATATTTTTTATTTAGATCAATAATGTCGGTAGTAGCCTAAATTTAGCTGTCATGTATTGAATGTAAATTATAAAACTTACCGCTTAATTCATCCACAAACAAACATTCTCCCGTAATAGTATTGGTAACTTTTTTTTACTACTATTCCAGTTTTAAAAAGTTTTTCTTGAATTCGTCATCACTTTTTTCTGTGTTCTGTTCTGTGCGACATTTCTGTGGGTACTTAAGAATAGGACGAATATATTATTATACACATTTTTTTGTAGAAACATATATAATTTGGCAAAATTTTTGCTTGTTTAAATCTGTTTAATGTACTTTTTTTTAGGTTTCCACATCAAAGTCAAAGTGGTATAAATTCGTCCATTTGTAACTCTCGCATGCCCAGAATTTATGAACGACTTTTATTCTAATTTAAATAAATATATTTGTAATTTAAATGTTATGTTAATAAGTTTTGTTAAACATACATTTAGTATGTTTTTTTTTTGTTTGACTTAGATATCTTCTAAAATATTCAGATCAAAATGTTATTAAAATGTAATTGTGATCAAATACCATGTTATATAATATTAAATAAGCAAATATAATATACAAAATAAATGACAAATTTTAAATATTGTTCCCGATATAATTTACCTATTTAACAATACAATCTAGGTACTATTACCTACGGGTCATTCTACCTATGTTTATTCTTTGATAAAAAAAAACACAGATTAGAGCACATTTTTTTTGAGATAGCTGTTCTAGTACGTAAGTACATATTACCTCAATGAATAGTTGATAGAATCAGGCGTTACTTTGCGGAAATCCATCATAACAATTATAATAAAGATATTAATTTGCAACCATCCGCTTAATTAACTACAATGATGTGTCTTACCTGGATTGAAGAGCACCTCTCGCCCTCCCTCAATTGCATGCACCAATCCCGTTACCATTACTCCCAACACCACTACTCCCGGCACCACTACTCCCAACAGCACTACTCCCAGCACCATTACTCCCAGCACCACTACTCCCAGCACCACCACTCCCAACACCAATATTCAAGGAGGGAAGGCAGGAGGTGCTATTCAATCCAGGTAAGACACATCTTTGTAGTTAATTAAGCGAACGGTTGCAAAATAATATCTTTATTATAATTTTTATGTCATTTTCGAATGTGGGCGTTTGAAACTAATATAAAAATATAACTTCCTACGAAGCGATTGAGTTTTATTGATGTATGTATCTATGCAAGTTGCGAGACGTATAACAGGGTGAAATAGCACTTTAAGAATTTAAAATAATTTTAGATTATTTTATAAGTGCTATATGCTGAACACGATGTGCAGTTACAGCCAAGAGTGTTACGGTCTTTTTGAAAAGAGTTTCCAAGTAGAGATCGGAGTTAGGTTAAATTATTTTATATTATGGTTGGGTCCCACGTCAAATTATACATTTGACAAGTAGGCCTGTCCCTATAAATTCTCCTTTCATGAATCGTTTAAGTCTATCGTCATGAATTAAATTACCTTGCAATAAGTATAATGCCAAATTGTAAGAGTTAATAGTGCTATATTTGGCACCTTTATCAAAAACAATGGAAAGAAAATGAATTAATGCAGGAACAGAAACTACAGAGTAATCATAAACTATTTATATTTTTAATACATCCATCATATTGCTTATCTTTAGAATCAGATAAATAAGACAATATAATTTTTACTGATCTCGAGGCCAAACATCTCTTAAATAAAGTTTTCCTGAAAGCCTCGCGGTTACTAAGCACAAGGTGCGAGGCTGCGCGGAGTTTTGAAAGGAGACAATAACAAGTCTTTATTTGATTTTAAATATATTGGCATAGAACAAATTCGTTTTTGGAATACTGAGGTTGCGTAGACCAATGTGCTAATACTAGAATGCCTACTACTCTTTAATTAATAAGTTTTTGTATGATCTTTGTTATTAGTGAAAAGTGTGGAAATGCGTAGAATAACATATTCTTCCAAGGAACGGTAAAAGCGTCAGTGACCTAGGCATCAGGCTAATTTTTCCAAGCAATATATTTATAGCTTTTAGCATTGCGTCTGCTAGCAAAAATATCTATATCTGGGTAACCGTAGCAAAGAGTTAATTTATTAAATGCCTTAGCATGAAGTTCCCATTTAGTGTCCAAAAATTCCTTAAGAGGCTTTTGACCTGCTTCATAGTTGTCTTAGTTTTGCTAAAAGAAGAGAATATAGTTATTGCACGAATTTCACACATTTATATTTGACTAAGTATTAATCCCATCCCATCCTATTAATATATTTTTTATATTTTTTTATATTTTATTAATATATACTTTTGATTTCATTCATTTATTTATAAATTGCAGTAACATTATCAATTTGCAATGATTTTTAATTTAATTTAAATCAATAGCGAAGCACTTTAGAGCCAGAAAAACTGCCTGTTACTAATTCGTTAATATGCAAGGATTTCTCATGAACTTTCCAGTAGCTAAAACAGTTTTTCTTGTTACAATAAGCACCCCCACCTATAGATGATGAGTCAGAAAATATTTCTAATGAATCATGTTTATCACAGTTTTGTTGATGGAAACGATGATCATTATTGTTTATCCACCAAAGTATGTCGGTCTGAAGACTTTTAGGAAGCTTTCAGATTTGTTCAAAACTTATTTTTTTTACGTGGTAGAACCTTGCTGTAGTTATATCAGTAGTATAGTAGTAGCACGAATGGGTCGGCTCGACCGGGGAAGGACCATGATCTCACAGCATACCAGCGTCAAATAGTAGCTTAATGCTTCTGTGTTTCGTATGGTGAGTGTAGATAACCGTAGACCCCTTTTACTGGAAACGAGGCATTCCATCTAAGTCCTTACGGGTGACAACGCATCTGCATTTTGATTCGTAATCGAGGATAGATGTGGATGTCTATGGGCCATATGCAACCACTTACCATCTGTGGTGGACTGTGTGCTCATTTGTCACACATTCTTATAAAAAAAACTAGGGTAGTCGAGTAAGCACCGCTATTTGAATTGTTCAAAAGTTTTAGTGTACGAGTATAGCCACGAATATTTAACCGCAGGGCATGCATAGCCTAGAAGTCCTAAGAGTTGAGTAAATTCACGAATTGTACTTTTATGTAGTTTAAGGAACTTAGAAATACCCACTTTGATATTTATTTTTATTTTTTTTTAGAATTGGTTAATTTTATTGCCATGTTCTTAGAATTTACATCTAAAAATTACATTGAGTTTAAGGTTCCAAGCAGCTTTTCTCTTTGTTTACTATGAAACCCAAGCTTTGGCTAAAGTTTGTAATAAAACGTTATTCCTTTTGCATTCTAAAAGCGAACATCCAATACAAAATATATCAACAAGCTATATCACAGATATCATTCCATTAATTATAAGAAATTATAATACTAGCTTCATTAATTTAGTAAAATCATAATGTGCAGTGCACAAACCGAACAGTAGGCAATTGAATTCAAAAAGCGCATATTATATTTAAAGCGAACGTATTTTATAGCGCATATAGGCGTGTTTTGAATCTATGTAAACCATATAACAGATTTTGGTCATCAATTTTGATGCTGTTCAGTAATCCTCCACCTTAATATGTCACGTTTCTACAAACTTATTTAAGCATTTAAGATTCAATATAAATATATTTTCTTTGTTCTGTTTTGGCACTAAAAATACACAGTATATGAATTCGCTTTCTTTATGTGTGGTGTGGGATATTGAACTAATATCTAGAAGGGTTTGAATTGACTTGTTAAAATTATACGCTTCATGGGATGTTTTTGGGGTAAACATTAGGATTACGATATCGCATGGTTTTTTACGTTAGTACGATATCGCATAATTTTAAATGGTATATGGTAACATTTCACCCAAGATGGAATAGTTTTGTCTGAAGTTATTTCAGCCCATTTGTGGGCAAAGTACTAAAGTTGTCCCGAAAATGGTACCTCGTCTATGTCCGGCGAGACATCGTCGGCTTGATTGTCGGCGGGCGGCGAGAAGTGCTGGCTGCCTGCTGCGGTGCGTCCCGCTGGCGCATCGTTGACCGCTACCCACGCCTTGTGTTGTAAATTTGCGGCTGCAATTTGTTGTGTACCTTGCGATGTTGGTTTAGGTAGTTTAAATGGCCAGTGTTGCTGGTTGTATTGAAAGTAGAGCGGGTAAGTATTAATAGACGAAATTATGAAACCTCTACGTATTCTTGGTTCCATAAAATGACTATCGCAAAGAATGCGACAGAAGTCAAAGTGGTATAAATTCGCCCATTTTTAACTCTCGCGTGCCCAGAATTTATGAACGGCTTTTATTCTAATCTAAATAAATATATTTCTTATTTAAATATTATGTTAATAATTTTTGTTAAAAATACATTTAGTATGTTTCTTACATTTGACTTAGATACCTTCTAAAATATTCAGATAAAAATATCATTAAAATTTTATTGTGATATAATATTATGTAATATTATATTAAATAAGCAAATATAATATACAAAATAAATGACAAAATTTAAATATTGTTCTAGATATAATCTACATATTTAACAATACAATCTACTATTAGCTATGGGTCATTCTACCTATGTTTATTCTATGATAAAAAAACAACCGCGCGAACACAGATTAGAGCACATTTTTTGTTTGAGATAGCTGTTCTAGTATGTAATAACATTTTACTTCAATGGATACATCAATTATCCATCAGAATCAGGCGTTAATTTGCGGAAATCCATCATAACAATTATAATAAATTGGATTGAAGGGCACCTCTCGCCCTCCCTCAATTGCGTGCACTAATCCCGTTACCACTACTCCCAATACCACTACTCCCGGCACCACTACTCCCGGCATCACTACCCCCAATACCACAATTCCAGGAGGGTGGGCGGGAGGTGCTCTTCAATCCAGGTAAGACACATCATTCTTGTTAATTAAGCGGATGGTTGCAAACTAGTATCTTTATTATAATTTTTATGTCATTTTCGAATGTGTGCGTTTGAAATTAATATAAAAATATAAATTACTACGAAGCGATTGAGTTTTATTGATGTATGTTTCTAAGCAAGATGCGGGACGTATAACAGGGTGAAATAGCACTTTAAGAATTAAAAATATTATTAGATAATTTTATAAGTGTTATAGTCTGATAAGGTTTTGTGTCACTGACGTTGAGTAAATGCATTTTTGATCATGTTTGTTTCACCCACCAACAAGTTGCCTTCAATCATTTAAAGGTGGGAAAGTTACAGAGATAAATTATTATGTTGTTATATAAAACATCGTGGAGGGCAGACAGTCTGTAGCCCCGTAATGAAGGGACCTGACTTGGGCAAAGCTATTTAGGTGCGAGTCAAACCAAGACGCAGAGAGCGCCATTGAGAATAGCGTCCCACCAAACAACCATCGCAGAGACGCAATGCTGCAGAATGCAACAAGCATCAATACGACTATCGTCAGGCTTACACCATCCCAAGGTCCCCCACACATCCCAGCAGACATTACCACCCGCATACCTCCAACAACCAGAACCACAAGAATGCGTCGAATCAGGCGCAGCACACACGCAGATCCATCACAAGACGCAATACCGCAAGTAGCAGTAAGCATCAATGCAACTATCATACGGATGGCGCCCCCTCACAACACACCCACGTGACCCTATCGACTTTGGAAGTTTGTATTGTTAACTAAAAAATATCACCAACGTATCATAGTAGCACGCTACTAAGACGCCAGTGAACAAAACTCCACGTATCATAGCGCTAATGCACTAAGACATGAAGTTGAGTATGTCTGTTACACTTAAAAGTGCTACCAGACACACTCATCCCAATCCGAAAGATAGGCGACGCATCGCTATGCGTTACGACACCGCCCACAAACGGTTTAGGTGTGCGATGTCCACGGGAAAACCGTATTGCTACAACAAACCCGCTTACCACCGGCACTAAGATGTTAATTGTATACCTCCATCGACCAGAACCACAAGAATGCGTCGAATCAGGCGCAGCACACCCGCAGATCCATCACAAGACGCAATACCGCAAGTAGCAGTAAGCATCAATGCAACTATCATACGGGTGGCACCCCCTCACAATACACCCACATGATACCATCGACTTTGTTTACAAAATTTTATTGTTGTTAACTAAAAATATCACCAACGTATCATAGTAGCACGCTACTAAGACGCCAGTGGATATAACTGCACGTATCGTAGCGCTAATGTACTAAGATATGAAGTTCAGTATGCAGGTTACACTTAAAACTGCTATCAAACACACTCATCCCAATCCGAAAGATAGACGACGCATCGCTATGCGCTACGACGTCGCCCACAAACGGTATGGGTTTGCGATGCCCACGGAAAGGCCGTATTGCTACAACAAACCCGGTTACCACCAGCACTAAGATGATATGTGTAGGACACATCGGTTAGAGAGTCCAAGTTCACCTCGGACCAATTGCTTGTGAAGCAGCATACACGCCACCATAATGTTCCTTTTCAAGTCCCTAATAAGGACTAGTCATTTTGCTACAGTACTAAGAGCAGTCAGTTACCCGACCACCCCATATAATGCTTATGCATCAAGGAGACCTTCTATAATACTGCTTTTGTATCATAGACCTTACTTACATAAGTCTTTAATATATAGGACTTCAACCTACGATTCTACTATTGTAATGCAAATTCATCATAGAGACCTATAGTATTGCTTAATTATCTTAGACCTTACTTTCATAAGTCATTAATATATAGGACTTCAACCCACGACCCCACTATTGTAATGCAAATTCATCATGGAGACATTCTATAGTATTGCTTTTGTATCATTGAGTTTATTATCATAAGACCCTAATATAGGACTAGTCATTGTGCTACAATACTTCAAGCAGTCGGGCTCCCGACCACCTCATATATATGTAAAACTGCAGGTATGTATCTCCAGCAGCTCCTCCATACAAGACATCTATACATGAACTCCTTCCACAACTTTCGACTTGTATTTCTATTATTTATCCTATTTTAAATATTTTTTCAAGTTTTTAAATAAATTTATTTACTATGAAAGACAATATTTTACCTTTAATTTACTACGTTATTGGTCTAATGTCTGAAATGTATTTATATTAACTTTATGTTCAATAGCGTAATTTTATTGCTTAATATATATATTTTAAGAATATTTTTGATGCCCCTTTATATTAAATTTAATTATTAATATTGGGCCATCACAGAGGCATTCCATCCAAGTCCTCACGGGTGACAACGCATCTGCATTTTGTTTCGTAATCGAGGATAGATGTAGATGTCTATGGGCCACAGCAACCACTTACCATTAGGTGGACTGTGTGCTCGTTTGTCACCCATTCCTATAAAAAAACATTGCAGTAACATTATCAATTTGCAATGATTTCTAATTTAATTTAAATCAATAGCGAAGCACGTTAGAGCCAGAGTAGCTACCTGTTACTTATTTGTTAATATGCAAGGATTTCTCATGATCTTTCCAGTAGCTAAAACAGTTTCTCATGATACAATAAGCACCCCAACATGTAGATGATGCGTCAGTAGAAGTCCTAAGAGTCTAGTAAATTCACGAAATGTACATGTATATAGTTTAAGGAACTTAGAAATACCCACTTTGATTTTTATTTTTTTAGTATCGGTCAATTTTATCGCCATGTTCTTAGAATCAAAAATAAAACCATATGCCTTTCATGCATTTACAGTATTACTTGTTACCTACTATTCAATTTACAGAAGCCGTGAAGTGTCCACGATATGAAAGCGGTAAATAATAATTTTATTTAAGGCGATAAAATACCACACCTACATTTAGCTAACGATATTGTACTTTTGTTTGAATCAAGAGGAAAGATAAGTTTAGTAGACTATTTTTCCATCAAAATCTTTTAAATAAAAGTTGTGTTAATATGTTTAAATAAATCATTATTTCATCATTGCTACATAAAGAAAATGAATTTTGCGCATCATAAGCTAACACATAGTTTATAATACAAATTATTACAATTATTAGAAAAGGGTTTAAAACCATAAGTTAATATTCATAATCCACAGGTTTTTTTCCGCGGGTACTTCAGGGTTTAGTTTACATTTTGAAATTGCAATGCTAATAGCTGCACATAGCTAACCTATTTTTGTTTATATTTTAATACTAAAAAGGTACTTACCTTTTTTCCTCGTCGCTACTTGTAACAGCCAGGGATTCACTGGTTCATACACGCACACGTAAATTCACATTTCACTGCACGTCCACTCTCGCCCGCGGCTCTCGTGATACTGACGCGGTGCGCTCGAAACAGTGCACATTTATACTTGTGTCTTAACTGGCAATATTTATGATAGTACCTTCATTCCGATTTATGAACCTTATTTTATTACATACTTATTAGCATTTTATAATCACATATACTACAATGACTATTTTTCATTTTAATGAAATACTAGTGACGAACAAACTTGGCAATTGTTAAGTATCGCAAGTAATTTCTATTTGTTATAATTAGGATTATTTCACTAACAATAACGCCAATATTCAGGGCTTTTTTGCCTGCTAGCCAATCATAAGTCTAGACTGTATCCGTTAACGTTACAGCCTATCAAAAGTTCACAACGGAACATACACCGCCACTATAAATTAACTGTGTGCCATAGTTGTCACACTTCGCAGGCGGATTTGCAACCGCAGTATTTCACTACCCCATATCATCTTGTGATATTCGTAAGGGACGTCAGAGGTAAATTGAAACAGATGATAACAGCAACTTTTTCCTGATAAGAACACTCAATTTTTTACTTATTTTATGCCAGTGTTTGTCTGCAATGCCACATGATGGTAAGTAAACATCTATGGAGAGCCTGTTCAGCGTTGGTTATTATAGGCTGAAATGATAAAGATGATTATTTATTATTACATTATTGGTTTCAGTTAAGATGAAAATATTTTGTAATGTGCAAAAATATATAATAAAAATAATCAGTAATAATTATTAAACTAAATTTTCTATAAATAAAATTATAAACTTTATATTTTACGTAATTTCGACAAATAGCCACTTTGATCTATTGTAAATTTTTTTTGTTTGATCCCCACGAGACAAGCCATGCCTAGTGTGGGAGTCACAGAACTTACTGTATTTTGGTGTTTAAGTGTTTTCTGGTAAATAAATAAATTTATAATTATTAT